TACCTAGACACTTAAAAATAATCTTAGACCTTAAAAATATTCCCATTACCCACTACTGTCTACAGGTAAGTATCTACTATCGACAATTTATGCAGTACATAATAAGTAAAATAGTTATTACTATTATAACCATTACCKATACTTAATTTATATTTATGTACATTATTATTACATCACCATGTCCACGAGTTTATTTACTTAATATATTATAAAATAGAATATTACCTATTTAGTATTTACCCATATAAATAGGTATCTTCCTCACATTACCTATATTCACCAATGTTTGCGCCGACTGCCGATTGAAAAAACAAAACTGTAAAAGAAGAATAAGCAGTCACTTTTTATAAAAGATTCCATAATCGGCTTGCAACTCATTCCAATCTTTTAATTAAAGATCTTTCAGCAAATGTTATTCCGGGTAATCCTCCAAGCGTTTAAAACGCAACTGGTGTAGAGATATGCTAACTTTATATTATAATATAAAAATAAATAAATAAATTCATATATATATATATTACATATTGTATATAGGTTAATGTATAACCTTAATTTATAAGTGTCATTACTGGGTGGCTGCTTTTATCAAGCTTATTCGTGTATTTTATTTATCTCAGCTAATACTCTTATATTGTACCCATGAGGTACAGATAGTGTATATTATAATAATAAAGGAAAAAAAAGAGTGCAGATTTCGGACACCAAGGAAAATGTAAGTACCTATAAAATATTCTTCAATAATGAACATCATAATTTGCTCAATGACTACCTATTATTTTTTTCCCATACCATTTGTCCTGARTATAATAAATTAGTTATTTTATTAAATAATTTACTTTTTTTTAATGAAACTTACTTATCTAACCATCATCCATCATAGAGGAGAACGTCACATTAATTTTATTTAGGTATATTTTACTCTAAAAAATTTGATTGTTTTTCGGTAATGCGATTGAGAGCTTAGCGGCTTACTGCAGCTTAGTCCCTTTGACCCCTCTCCCCACCACAACTAAACCTCTTATAACGCCTCCTCTCGTTTATTTCAGTAGTTTAAATGTTTGTACAACTAACTCATTCACCATATCGCTTTAATTTTATAAGTTCACAGTCGTGCATGCATGATAGTACACGCAGTCAGGGAGGTTTTTGGGTGACCTCCCYCCTCTCTTCATAATCGCGACGATACTACTGATAAAGTGACATATACCTACTCACGAATAGTTGCTATATGTTATATCTGTCRGAAATTCGTTGTACCTTGTACAAACGACGAGAGGGGTGGCGGTGGAATGACCTCTGAAAGTGGAAGGTGTATAATATTATGTTCGCTATGGACACCGTTGAACTCTTTATATTTCCGTAACCAATTAATAATGATTACGTCGCGTGACGGACGACGGGTGGCCTCGATTGGTGCAAACGACGAT